ATTAATCGGCAACAGCCATTGAATGGATCTTTGAGCGACAATAGGAGGAACCAAGCAGCAATTGATTGTAGAGCAGGGAATTATCACGATGGTGAATTAGGAGGTGTTCGGGTGAAGTCGAGGTCGATTAAGGATAAGTTAATGAGATTCCATTTGAAGGCATCATCAACGAATAGGATACATCATCATCTCATAATGCGGCAGTGGTTGTCCATGATGGAATCAATGAGCTACCCAAAAAGGGGTGTTGTGATGAAAAGCCCGGTGAAGTTGCAAGAAGTGGGAAAATTGGGCTTAATAATTGGTGGAAGGAAGGCCATCCAAAAATAAGTAATGGGTATAGAAGCGGTTTCTTCACGTTATTTATTGAAAATCTACCATAGAAGATCCATTGGAAGAGGTTTGGATCATTATTTTGCACCCACGGTCGGGTTATTGACGCTTTCATTCCAAATAAAAGAAATTTGAAAGGGCTTCACTTTGGTTTCATCCGTTTTGCAACAATCGAAGAAGCAAGAAAACATCTCAGAAATGGATGGATCTCATATTGACATGTGCAAAGTTAGTGCATCTTTGGCTAAATTCAAACCTCGTCAGTCTTTTTTGGAGAAAGACCACTACAACTGTTCACCGTAATTCTAGGATGGAAGGTGATTCGAGGAAGAATTATTGTGAAGTTGAAGGTGTTATAGACGAAGAAAAACTTCAAGTGTTGAGTAAATGCCTAGTGGGGTGGTTCAAGGACTTTATCAAAATAGGTCATCTCGCTAGACAAATGCAAACGAAGGGCCTCACTGGTTTCTCCTTAATGAGAGTTGCTGGAAATGCGGTATTAATGATTTTTGAAGACTCCACTTCATTGAGAAGTGTCAAGAACGATAAATCAGAGACTCTCGCAAAGTGGTTCTCCAGAGTCGAAGCTTGGTCAGAGAGTTTGGTAGTGGGGTTTCGTCGAGGCGAAGCACTTTCAAAAACATTGCAGATAAGTGGGGTTATTTATTAGCAATCGACGAAAGCTGTCAGTTACCATCATCTTTTGATCGGGCAAAAATTCAGGTCCTCACAAAGGTTGATGTAATAATTGATGCGACGTTGGAATTGAAGGTCGGTGTAACTCCTTCAAAATCATAGTGCATGAGATTGAGCCTTCATTCAAACCAAACTCTTGGGCCCCTGACGAAGACGAATCTTATTAGATCTCTTATCTTCAATTGTTGTTTTGATTTAGTTTAAATGGTTGCAGGTGTTGCTTTTCTTTTGCATTATGTTCTTTTACGTTGTTTTTTTTCCTATTGCTGGAGGTGTAACTTAGAAATAAGGTGATAGTCGACTGTGGCTTTTGGATGACGATGTGTGAGTTTAAGGTGTTTGTTGTAATGGTGTATATCACCATAGGAGGATATTCCGTGGTGTCTTATGTATTGGGTATTATTATTAATAAACTATGAGGTACTCTTTTCTTCTTTCCAATGTTCGCTAACATACTTCTTAGTATGTGAATGAATACGAAGGGAGTTTTTAATGAGACCTCCAACTTCTATAAAAAAAAAGTAGTTTAATGCCGGGGAATTGTGCATACAGGTGTGATTGTGATGAATCTAAGTTTGATTTATGAGAAATAGAAATTTATGCAAATGTTAGTGTATTCTTTGTGAAGGAAATAATTCAAACAAAATTGCTAGTTCTGAATTGTATAGATGCAGATGTGGTACATAGGCACTTCTTTACAGCTAGGGGCCTAATGGTTTCACATTTTTAGTTGGTTCATTGTGTTTAGCTCATTGGCTGGTTTCATCAATCAAATCTTTGCTTATGCAAAAAAAGTAGGAATCTGTTATTTAGAAAATTTTACCGGGACTTTCATTCAAAGATCTAGTAACAATTTTGGTGAGAACCTCCGACTGGAATGGGATCTTGTTCAGTTCACGGCGGATTCAAGATCCTCAAATGTGGCTTTGGCTTCAGTTATCTCATTCGTTCTTTTTTACTTTTGATTGGTAAGATTTAGTTCTTGTGCATTAGAAATTTTTTTGGTCGTTGAGATGGTAATAGTCATTTTAGTGTAACAGACTCATGTTTTCTAGCTGTGAATTAAAGGGGTTAGCTTTCCATCATTTCTCAATCCTACGCATTTAGCAGATTCCCTTGAGGAATGGCAACTGAAAATCAAAACAAGTTTATGATTTAGTACTGGATAATGAAGCTTATGTATGTTCATTGTCATGTTTAAATTTTAAAGTCTACTGATTGATGGACTTTAGGCCTTCTTTTCTTTTTTCATTAGATATGCCAAGAAAGTTACACTCATTGGCTATAGCCTATAACCTATGTTACTCTTCCTTTTTCTTGATGTACCAATGTTTGACACTCATATTTGATGCACGGAGTCTCCAAATATATAAATCTTCAGAAAAAATGAATGTAACCATTTCGGACAAAAGTGTTTGCCACTCAAACTCAAGTCTGAGTAACATAAGTTTATAATCCCCTCCCTTCCCATTTTTTCCCACAATGTATGAAAAAAATATTGGGATAGAAATTTGAGTTCATACGTGTGCATATTCTTATATGTGTGTATATATATTACTTTGATACTTGTGCAAAGATTGAAAGTCTGTAAAATTTCAGAGATGGTGAAATTTAACTTGATCTATGTTACTCAAACATGGGGGTGAGTGCCGGATACGGATATGTCTGACACGGATGTGTTCAGTTTCTAAGCATTTCCGTATAAAAGAGTCTCTTTAGGGGGTCACATCCCAGTACTCTTGTCCTAAAATGTATCGGACATGGGTACTTCAAAGAAAAATGAAGATTCGGAGAAGCATAGATTGCAATTCTTTTTGCCTTTATAGTTCTGAATGTTAACTCTTTGCTGACAAGACCTTCGACTGCCATATCTTCTGCAAGTGTATCCTTGGGCATTAGGTATGACTTTTTTAGAAGATGGCTCCAGAATCAACCCGATCCTTCCGGCCAGGCTAATGATAACACGAGATCCACGAAGCTGACAGTTTAAATCCTGCTTCTTGCTTGGCTAATGTACTTTCTGAGACGAACGGTTCTGCCGTGAAGCATACTGCTATGTCTAACTTGAAAATGTCGGCAAGAATGATCTTGCAATGATATTTACGTGCAAAGTCTGTGAAGACAGTATGCCGTGAATCGTATGAGAAAGGCGTGGTGGTGGCAAGATGTGGAGGGTGTAATAATTTACATCTGATCGCCGATCGGCTCGGGTGGTTTGGGGAACCCGGAAGCATAGAAGATTATCTAGCTGCTCGTGGGGAAGAAGTGAAGAAAGGCTCTGTTGATACCCTCAATCTAACTCTTGAAGATTTAGCTGGAAAGGGAGCCATTTAAAAACGCAAAATAGAAGTGATGGGCTTTCTTCGACATTTTTCAGTCTTGTTTATTAAATGAACCCCAAACCCGAACAGTGTAGTCTCCATTTGCGAATATGTTTGTTTGATGTTACAGAAATGAGAATGAATTTTAAATTAATAAACTTAAATGTTATTTAGAAGTTTTCAATGCACTGAGGCGAATAATTTAAAAATAGATAACAGTTCAAAAATTGAAGAGTAAATAACGAACACAATTAGGGGTTGTCTTCAACAATGAACAGCTAGTTTAAATGAGATCAGGTTGAGGATGAGTGTTGGGTGCGTTTACGCACTGAAACATATATCCCCTGACAGGTGACAAGGAAGAGCTGAAACTATTGAATTTTCATAGCTAAACGTTTTTCTGATATTTTTGCACAGCCGAGGTTTATTATAATTTGATTTTTTTTTAAAATTAGATTTCTTTAATTTTTATTAAAAATATTTTGAGACAAATACCCTCCCTTTTCCACTGAAATTACATGTTTACCACAAAATCCACCGCATAAAATTCCTTAAATTCCCCACTCCACCCTCCATTCTCTACATTGCACTCCCTAGAGACCTCTCAAAATTTTCACTTGTCTTCTCACTCACAAACACCTCCTAATCCAATGGCCGCCGCAGCTCCACCGCCGCCACCATCCGATGTCCGGACCCATCCATGGCGGAAACAACCCCGACAGGCTACCCTGTGTTCGCCAGGATCCGCCTAGCCACCCCTTTAGACGTCCCTTTCATCCACAAACTAATCCACCAAATGGCCGTCTTTGAAAGGCTGACCCACCTCTTCACCGCCACAAAATCCTCCCTCTATTCCACCCTTTTCATCTCCCCTCCTTTCCAGTCCTTCACAGTTTTCCTCCTCGAACTTTCCTCTTCTCCTATTCCTCCACTCCCTTCCCCCTCTTTCACCCCCATAGAGAAAACTTTCTATTTCGACCTCCCCTTAGACGACCCTGAAAAAGATGCCTTTTCGGTTCGCTATGGAAATGATCAAGTTGCGATCGCCGGGTTCGTTTTGTTTTTCCCGAACTACTCGACATTTCTGGGGAAACCAGGGTTTTATATAGAGGATTTGTTCGTCAGGGAATGCTACCGGAGGAAAGGGTTTGGGAAAATATTGCTGTCGGCGGTGGCGAAGCAAGCGGTGAAAATGGAGTACGGTAGAGTCGAATGGGTGGTTTTGGATTGGAATGTAAATGCCATTATGTTTTATGAACAAATGGGTGCTCAAGTGTTGCCTGAATGGAGGATTTGCAGGCTTGCCGGCGATCATCTTCAAGCTTATCAGAATGCCGATCTTTAGCTGTTTTATTTGAGCTTCGTGATACCGAAATAAATGAGGTTGAAACTTTATCTTGAGAAATTCCGGGGTTTTTTTAAATGTTTCAGCTTATATTTGTGTTTGCTTGTTTCAGAAGTTATTGTGGTGTAGATTTACTATGATCTTTTAAATGAAAAATTGATTTAACTCAGAATTTTATTTTTTAATCGGATTGATCTCATGAAATTTTCATTATTAATAAATTAAATTACTTGTAAAACTAACTCAAAACTAATTAATGAACAACCATTTGGAGGATCATAATCTTACATCTGAATTATGTGTTCAAAAAAATGAAAAATGGGGGAGTAAAAGGATTGTCATAATACAAGTGACAGGAAGGATCTTCCACTCTTAATAGCATTCAAATGAGTGGAGAATGCCAATCTACAAAAGGATCAGTTCAGTCTTAACCTATGCCTAATCAGAATCTTCAAGTTCGGTTCATGCCCTGGTGCATTACAGATGAAGCCTGCCTATAGTGACAAACTTTCAGGGTGAAGAGTCCACATAATGCCCGGTTTTTCGTCTATGCCGGCTAAAATCAGACACAAATCTGAAAGAGAGGCCACATCCCTCAACCTTGCACCTATAAGGGCGTTCTCCGGTGTGCACCCGTATATGCTCAGTCCTAGCCCATGCCCACTTGAATGACATGGAACAACCTTTCCATGGGCACTTGAGGGGCCTATCATCTTCATGGACTCGTTGATGAAGGATTGCATATTTGTGGGAACGGAATTTCTTTCCACATCCATCGTACGCACACCGATTCCGTTTGTGCAACCTCAATTCTTCCTTCGTCTCAAAACTCATATGGCAGCCTTCCAGGTCACATCCATGAGACCCTTTTTTTATTGTTTTCTTACTCTGGGTATGAACAGAAGGTTTCCTCATCTCTTTGGTTGGCAGCCCCTCAGAAGATGCTTTACACGCATTAAGACTGCTGGTTGCATCTTTCCGAGCCCTCGGCCTCAACCCTTCACATGGACTTCTAATAAAGCCATTACCACCACCCGTCTCAAGTGTTTCCTCCAGTTCTCTCTTCTTCTTTCTTACATAGATGGCACTTGGCTTACAACCTGTCATAACAGACCCGTGAGCTTCATTCTCTGCAAAAGAACAAACTTCCCCGCCATCATTTGCATTCACGGTTGTATGAGTCTCTCTATTTGTTCTTGAGTAGCTTTGGGTTGCTATAGTTGTCAGATTTACAGGACTATGACAGCAAGAAACAGTTTCTTCATCTGCAATTGCAGCATCATTCAGCTTCTCCCGAGAACCACTATCTCGGTGGACCTCAGAGCAAGCTTCTATCACCAAGTGAGTAGGGTGCTTTTCTTGGATTGGCAAATTGGAACCGGTTGTAACTTCATCCTCAGCGGTTCTTTTTGTAGCTCGAGTTTCTTGCAATACTTCAACATCTAAGGTCACATCAGTATGATTGATACAGGGATTCTTGGAAGTTGTGGAATATTCTTCAACAGAGAAGTTAGCAGACCGATCAATTCGCCCTGGCATGACAGAACCAGATAGAAGCCCTTCCTTGCTTGCATTAATCTGGATTTCCTGCTGCTGTTCTTTATTCTTGGAATTTGTACCATCACGATCCTCAGATCTTAACATCGCCTTGCAGTTATTTCTGTTGGTAGCTTCAGTTTTTTGCAGCACTTCGTTCTCAGACGTCATACATGAGTTTATGGAAATTTTTGGAACAGTCATGCCCCCCAATCCTTGATAAAATCTTCCAGCACATCGCTGAGCAGAATGATAACTTGTTGAGTTACCAAGATCTGTCGAACCATAGCCAGAAGCCAGTGCCTCACTCTGTCCTTCAGAAAATGGATTGCAAACCTCAGTAGCAATGGTAGAGTTCTCCACATACCTTTCATCATCCGCAAAAATGCAGCATTTAGAACCCTCATCGGCAGGAGAAATCTCATCACTCTTACTGTTACTCTCCATAAGCTTGATCGCGCTTTTCTTTTGAGAACTAGCACAGGCTGTCAAACTCCGAGTTTCATCGTCCGGATCCAATTCCTCCAAAATTTTGTTCTGGTCCTTTTCTACCACCGAGGAAGGCAGGATTTCAAGTTGTATCCGAATTGACTCACTTCTGGTATTTATCTTGGATTTATTTCCACCATGTTCATCAATGAGTTGACTGGACGCATCCAAATCTTCTCTTGGCAAGTCATTCTTTAACATTTCACTGTCCCAACCAGCTCCAGTAGAATAATCCTGTTTTCTTTTTTTCCTTCTTGAATAGTGAATTAATTTAAGTCCATAATTAGAAATGTTGCTATCGAGATTTTCCACCAATATTTTATTTACTTCCGTTTTGAGGCTTTGATGTGGTTTGGATGGTGATGGGTGGTTCAACTTGCCTTTTGAACGGGATTTCCGCAACTGCCATTTTATGTTTAATAACTCCGAACTGCTGTATTTATCAGCAAAAAGACCGCTCAATGGTAGTGCATGCTGAACCTGCTTAAATGGGGAGTTTTTCCGGACTTTGACACAGTACCTCAAGTTAACACCAAGATCGGAGGTCCAGTCTTCCCGAATTTCATCATGTTCATCATCAATTGCAAAATTGATCAAATTCAGATCCTCCTCGGATGCAGCATCTAGTAGAACATCATTGTAATTAAAAGGGATGCCAATAGCGTCCGCAACTGGTATTGCATGTGCCTTTATTTTCTGATAATCTGACAGATCAGAGAAAAGATCTAAAGAACTATTTCAAAACTACAACAAAGAAGCAAATATATAAAATGGTTGAAAGGCAGATAGCAGCAAATATTACAATTACAGACCTATGTTATGTCAACAAAATCTGACATTTTTTATCCGGATTTTTAAGAAGATATACCCCTAAAAATCTGGCAATGATTAAGGAATAATTTCCAAAAATTACCAATGCAAGATGTAAATACTGAAATCAATACTGATTTCTTTATGATTTAGACTTGCCTAGTTTATGTTAACATTCCAAAATAGTTGAACACTCTTGTAGGCTATAAAAGGCTGTATTTGATTGTCAATGAAACACTCAGATTTGGGTGTTTCAGATTCGGGTATGAATCCAACAGGGATGGGTTCAAGTTTTTTTTTAAACAAATTTTCATGTATTTGGAGGATCATTAGATCATATCTCCATACCCTGTCAAGTATGATGCAGAAACGGATGTCAGGAATGGGTAGTCACGTCATGGGTTTGCTTTTCTTTTCTACTTTTTGATCAGTCATCGATAAAAACAGGAATGCATCCTAAATGTAGATAAACTGATTTGATGAATAGAATAATGGGGCAGGCAGATCTAAAGTCAATCTTACCTGAATGGCAAATTACCAGCATTTTTGCTCCACCTTTGGACTGCAAAAGCTCATCAACTTGAACAGCATGCTCCAGGCAGAAAATCCGAGGTCTCAAATATTTATTACAGGTGTTCCATCCTTTGGAAAACTTGGTTATTGATTGTAATGGTGACTCCTTGGAAGGAAGTGATAGATCTGCAACATGATTGAGATTGTCTGCAGAATAAAGGAATAGGTTTACTTTAATTATCATTTGAGAAGCCTGAAAAGATGGTAAAGCAAACTCCGGTTCAATGATATGCCTTCAATTTCTACCGTGAAAACAATTATAGCCTCAATGGAAAACATTCAACCCTCTTCATAAACCTCAATATTGAGAAAATCATAGCACATCCAACCTATGTTACTACTGGACTTGGGTGTGAGTGTAGGATATAAGTATGTATCCAGCATATCATATCCAAGTCCATATATAAGTCAAACAAAGCTGTTGGACACAAGTACTTCAAGAAAAATTAATACATAAGTTCTAGCCTCCAAGTTTAGGGCAACAGATATTTAACTCACACGAAAATAATCAGAACATGTATGTGACAATTTGAGTGATGGACACCATTATGTCAGAAATGAACTGATGATAAACTTGAGAAACAAAAATTTACGAGGAAGGGGTCCCATACCCAAAACTGAGCCCTTGACAAGGCAAGAACTCTTAGTTTCCAAGACTGCTGGACCTTGACTTGAAACATGATTCGCAGGTAGTTCCATCATTGCTCCCTCAGATGGCTGTACCACAGACATAAACGGATAACCTAGAATTCCGCAAGCCACACAGACCAATGTCCCCGAATCAACTTGTAAATCACATGTCAAATCGTCATCATTAGAATATAAATAGTTCAGATTTTCCATGTAGAAGCTCATCTCATCTAAGAGATTCTTTTGATCAGATTTGTCTTCAATGTGAATGTCAGAAATATTTTCTTGCAGCATCATAGAATCTGTAGCAGTTCTGCTGGGTAATTCGGAATCTTTGCTCGTATAAGGAAGTAACAAAGGGTCCCACATTATTGGACTATAAGTCGATTCTCTTTTTAGAAGAAGAGATAACAATTTATTTTCGGTTAACAAATCTTCTATAAATGCCTTCTTTACTAGCACCTCTCGTTCTTCCTTCAAGCGATCTCTCAGACGAGAACTGCGAGCACCAGGAAGCAAGGATCTAGGTATCCTGTAATGGAAACAAATTAAGTGAAACAGACTTGAGACACGAGACAGCTCAATAGATATTATTACAACCAAATTTTAGAAAAATAATGCAAGGAAATACAAAGATTTATGCAGAACCCTATGTTCATTAAGCTTGATATTAAAAAAATGGCATAATTAGCGAGTTAAGGATTAACTGCAGTTGATTAAAGGACAAAAATAATGCCATAATTTTGGTTACAGATTGTTCTAAATACACAGTTCATTGTGTCTAAAATTGTTATAAATAAATAAAACAATTAAAAAAGAAGGAGGCATAATTGGTGAATTATCAAGGATTAACTGCGGTTGATTAAACCTTATAAACAAAAAGAATGCCACAATTTTTGTTACATATTGTCCTAACAACTAAAAACATAGGTTTCAAACATAAGTACTCAACAAATATAAACAGTCGGAGCAACATAGCATACTACTATACCGAGCCTTAAATTTATTAACTTTAAATTAGAAATAGAAACAGCTGCCTGTAGGCCCACTGTTTCAATTCTTGACATGCTATCTGCATTGGGCAACCCTCATCCATTGAGCAAAGAAATATCAATAATATAAATCTTCATATTGCCAGATTTCTGAACTAACAGATATTGCATAACATATGTCCATGTTTTGCTTAGATAAATACAAACTGACCTTGACACAAAAGACATGGTCAAAAGGTATAACAGCTGCTGATGAGAAAGCATTGGAAGATAGTTCATAGCCGCTCTACGCACAGCAGCTTCTTTAGCGACTTGAAGCCACTGTTGAGTTCCAAAGTTTGCAGCTTCCCCGCAATTAAAACCTGTTTAGTAAAACAATTGACCATGGCAAACGATGAAAATTGGAAAGAGATAACAAAGTCCATGGTAAATGTATGCTCAATTTTTTTCACAGATTTCAATGTATTTGGATGGTCCAGGGAGGATCATATCTCCATAAATATGTGTGGATATGCATTGGACATTGGGACTTCAAAAGCAATGAAAAAGCAAAGCAACATAATTTCAGACAATATTCAGATATAGGTTCACGATGACCACACCAAAAGGCCCTTCTGCATTATGGTGGTTTATGAAACATTGGTACACACCGATAATTTCTCGTTGATCCTAATTCTAGTTCCATGGTAAAATCACATACATCATAAGGGTCTTTTCACATAAGACGCCCACATTCAGAACTCATTTTAAATACCTTTAAGCATGATCATGAATGAGATCACCATCAGCAAGACCTTGCTCACTGATGATATAGATAGCCTCATCCCCCACCCAACCAGCCTAGACCAAAATGCTTTGACAATGAAATTCTTCTCTGTCCCCTCCCTTTTAGTTCTTTTCCAGAAGGAAGAAAATTTAAAAGGGAAAAAGAGAACTATTTCTCTCATAATTACGAGTCGTTAATTTCCAAAATTGACAGAGTAAGAGAAACATATCAATTCCATTTGGAGCCTCAAAATTTTCCGAAGATAAGCACATTTGTTATGCCATGCCGATAATTTAATATTTGCAGGTATCCATTCTTACCAAATCATGTCAAGCTAAAATGTGTGCCTATTAAAAAAATTGATTTCTTGAATAAGACATGTTCATTTAATATTTGCACAGTTTCTATTCTGTGCTTCTAATAGTCGATAGAACATAAATGTGCAGGTATTAGATCCCCAGTCGGGAGCAACACAATTGATGAAATTCTCATAAAGGTGAAAATCAACTATAAGGAAATTACCATGGCTGAATCCTACGTGGTAGGCTCTCGGAAAAGTCACAACAAATTCACCAGGATTCTGTACTAACCTGAAGAAACAACAGAATAAAGTAGAACTTCAAAATTTCAGAAGAAAATACCAAATCGCAGACTCTGCAGTACAAAGCAAGCCTCAAAAGTTTTCCAAGAATGGGATGTTAACATCCTCACATCTGCAAGTTCAATATCATTAGGGGATCAAGGGAGACTAAGGATACAATTATTCAAAAGAATATAATCAACTCACCTACAACAAGGAATGCCAGATGTGACAATCAATTCAGGTGATAGAAGAGTTGTCTTCTCACCCAGTAATGACAGAGCAGCTGGCAATAAAGGATACTGAAACTGAGTTACAACTTACAAGAAAGATATAAAAGTTGCAATAATCAATTACGACCGATAGGATATCAAATGTTCCTAATATATGATGAAATGAAATCATGCCAACAAAAATATATACTATGATCCATAAACCATGAAATAAAATCATGCAATACATTCTTGAATCCAACCCCGATGTAATTCTCAACAACCTAATATAAGACGACAAAAAAAGTGACATACCTAAGCGGTCAATGTTACCACCATAACCCTCGGTGAGGATAACTTCCTCAAAAGAAAATGCATGATCTCCAGGAACAGCATACCAAGTCTTTGAAGAGCCAGTATGAAGAAAATTCATGCTATGAAGCTCATGATCTTCAACATGCCATGCAAACCAGCTAAACAACATGCCAATATAAACCATGGGAGAAGTAACACCAGGAATATCATCAGGCATAAAACGTGTAATTGAGCCAGCCGAGCGAGCAATCACTTGAAGATTCCAAGGACTATTTGATAGCTTCCAACCAGCGGTACCTTCCATATCACTGTCAGCATTTCCATTCTTTCTTTTAGAATGAGAACTTCCATCTGATGCCATGGTTGACAATGTAGTTGATGACTTGGGTGTTTCTACACGTTTATCTAGGTCACTTTTAACGGATGTATTTTTAATCTCATCCCTGTGTGAATTATTTACAGTATCGATCTCATCTTTCTTGAATTCAGAGTTTTTCCTCCTGTATGACATCCTCTTCCTCCTCCTCCTCTGGAAATACTGAAATTGATTGTCTGGTTCCCCAAAACCTGATCCAGGGACATCATTAGCATATTCCACATATAAAGACTTCTCTGAAGCCAACTTCCAAAATAATGCCTCGATATGCAACGGTGATACCTCCTTAAGCAAGCCCAATAAACTCTTTGCCAATGTCTTAGACTTGGATTCAAACTGCTCTAATGTATAAATTGCCCCACTTTGCCACACTTGCTTCTGAGCACCACATAGTGGACTATTAGCCACCCCTTTCATTCTCTTCCCACTCTGTCCCAGCTCCTGATGTCGAGTCGTAAACACCGCCCTTCTTTCACCTTCATCACCACCACTATCCCCAAAACTCGAAACAGAGTCTACATTCACATCACTTCCTAATTCCGGACACTTGGAGAGCGACCTATTCAAATTGTTAAAAACATACTTTTTCGATGGTTTTGGCAATGGTGGAATAATCTTACATATACCATAAGAACTAGCTTCTTTCTCAATCTTTGATATATATGCAATGGGGTCAGCAAACTCCGTGTCAGTCGGCCGAAATTCAGGTGCCAATGGCAACCGTTTAAGCCACTTTGGTACTTCAACATTTCCCATTTACAACAAAGATTCTAAACAACGAAGAACAACATAAACCAATCAAATCATGAACCCTTAACAAACATTGCTCATGGGTGTTTCAAAGTGAGGCATGACAATTAACAAAAATCCAATTCTCTATATCACTAGATTCCATTGTTATAACACGTTTCCAAAAATGGGTTTCTCTTGTTTCTTGGTTTTCTTCAATCGAAACTCCATAAAACCCCAAAGTTCTAGGGTAAAAGTTCCAAATCCATTGCTTTAAAAATCTATCAAATAAATTGGGGAAAGAAAAAAAAAGAATTAAAACCTGGAGAACCACCTGAAGCCGCTTGAAAATCTTAACAATAGTCTTCACAAAGCGGGAAACAACAGGAGGAGGAAGCTAGGTTTTGATCAAGCCAGACAGTGCAAGTTAGCAGGGGACGGTGGAAAAGGGCTATCGTGCAAGGGAATGATGATGCAGTCGTGTGGACCGTACGACATTGGGTGAGATGCTGAGCAAAGATTGGATGTATTTTTTTTTTGGATAATTAAAGATTGGATGTATTATATTGGGCCACTTGCATGAAAATATATATATATATATATATATATATATCAGAAAATGATGAAAATAACATTTAGAAAAGGATGACAGTGGATCCCTAACAAGGCCCATGAAAAGATGTATAGTGCAGTAGCAAGGCCCAATGGAGTTGAGCCAGCCAATCATTTCTTATTTCTACGTTGTTGGTCGTGGACGACCTTGCCCCAAAATCGAAGCCAGTGCTTAACTGAACTCTCTCGTCCCGTCAACTCCAATGGAGGCTCCGATCAGGGCTACACACATCCTGGGTTTTGCTCTCTTCTTTCTTCTATTCTTCGTCTGCAGATCATCTCCTTTACATGATCTCTTGATCTCCAGCGCCGAGCGTAGAGTAAGCATCAATCCCTCCCTTCTCTCATTCTATATTTCCACTTTTTAATCATGGATTTATTCCAAAATTTTGAAATTATGATGTGTGGTTCAGAAATTTATTTGAAGAACTCATTTTAGGTAAGGAATTATATGTGGGTTTATATTTTAAATGCTCTGATCGTTAAAGAAAATGTTAGATGGTCGATCTTAATATTCTTTGTTTTGTTTTGGTTAATTTGGTTCCTTTTGATCTTATTTATTTAATTTTTTTTTTGCTAATCTGGCTTAGGATATAGGGGTTCTAAAATTAGTTTTTAAGAACCAATTTTAGGTAAGATTATATATGAGTTATGGATCATGGAAGCTCCAATTATTAAAAATAAAAATTGCAAGATACTTGATCTCAATATTTTTATTTCATTTTTTTTAATTTGGCTTCTTTTGAGCTTATTTATTTTCAAAATTTTGTTTTTGGTTGTTGCAGATTGACTTGACCTCCCACATTGTCAAAGTTTACCTGACTTTGAAGGTAATTTCTCTCCAAATACTACAAGTTTATTTAATTTGGTTAATATATATATATATATATATAATATGTGAATTATTGTTTAAATCATTTGAGTGTAGAGGAGTCGAGGTTTTATATTTCAGTTTTGAATTGGGTGCCTAAACTTTGACTGTGAATGTAAGTTTCTGTTAGTTTTTAACCTTGAGGTCGTGGGATCGAGTCCCACGGAGGGCATTTCATAATTCGGAGGTCTCTTACGGAAGCTGCTCTCAACTTGGTGTTGGGTAGCCTACTATCTTACCTTCCCTTACCCCATATATATGGGAAAAAGGGACAGCCATTTTGTTAGTTTTTCCTATGTCGGGCACTTGTTTTTTGATGCTTTTATCATTTTATTTTGTGCTTGCCATTTTTTGTGTATGTGTCTGAGTTTCAGTTCATACATTTTTGAAGAATTAACATTATGGAGAAAGAAATTTAAAATATTTTTAATAGGGAAATGCGTAATTTACTTTTTTTATGAAGCGATTATGTTTCAGTGAACTATTTTTAGGTAATTATGTGCTTTTTTTTAATCAAATAGGATTTTTGCCTTTTAGCAACTTCTGATGTTGCAGGTTTTGTATAGCAAAACAAACGTAACTTAACAATGGAGTCTATAATTTCTTACTGGTTCATGCAGGTGAACTAATTCGAGGCTTCTTTAAGTATTAACATCAATAGTATGAGTAATATATTATTAACATCTAGTATTCTGAGATTTTCATGTATTTTACTATGCACAATTGTAATTAAATATATGTGCTTGTATGTATCTCTTTTAGGTCGAGAATGCCGGTAGTTCGCCTACTTCAGAAATTCTTCTTGCTTTCCCACCCACTCAAGTTGATCATCTAGCAACAGTCGAAGCATTAGTAACAAAAGGAAAGCGGAAGAAGACTACTTTAGTCCGTCTTGATGTTAAACCGACTGAACTGCCTGATGCACCAAATGGCACTAAATATTTTACTATTTATTTGGCTAATCCCTTAAATTCCGGTGAAAGTACAACACTAGAAGTGTTGTACTTGTTTACACACTCCCTAGAACCTTTTCCAGCAGAGATAGGCCAATCAGAATCTCAATTAGTATATTATCGTGATAGTGCGTTAATATTGTCGCCATATCATATTAAGCAACAAACAACTTTCATTAAGACTCCAAGTACTAAGGTGGAATCATTCACAAGAGTGGAACCCACGAACCGTGCAGGCACTGAAATGAAGTATGGGCCATATGAGGATCATCCACCATACTCTTCTTCTCCGATTCTTATACATTTTGAGAATAATAGCCCATTTCCTGTGGTTGAGGAGCTTGTTCGTGAAGTTGAGATATCTCATTGGGGCAACCTTCAGGTCACAGAGCAATACACATTGGTTCATGGCGGTGCTAGGCACAAAGGTGTATTTTCAAGGTAGAGTAGATACTGCCTACCTGGATTCAGCTTGAAAGATCGAGAAATGCACATTTTTATGATTTTATAGTCACTTTCTGGTGCATATTATTTTCAGGGTTGAGTACCAATCCAGGCCAACTTTGAGTGGTACGTCCTCATTGCGATACCTTCTAGCAAGACTTCCTCCTAGGGTTCATTCTGTCTACTACCGGGATGAAATAGGGAACATCTCATCATCACACCTGCGTACGGATTCCCGTAAGGTATTCAAATGTGTTTTCTCTTCCATTTTGTCTCTCCTTCGCTGCCTTGCAGCCTTTTTTATCTATCAAATCATTTATGCAGTCAGCTTTGGAATTTTCATGATTTATGAGTTATTCCTAAAAACAAATATCCCAGTTTCCTGGTTGTCTGACCATGCAGATGTTTAAAACCCTTGTATTGGTAATTCTCCTTGATGGCATGTAAGTTTCTATTTGAAATGACTTAGGAACGTGTTTTTCAGAACGATGGGTTTTATTCCATTTCCACATTGATTCCTAGTACAATAGTGTGCATTTATAATGGAAAGAGGTCCCTTGCATCTTTCGTTTTAAATGCAAGTTGTTTTGATTTTTCTGGCTTAGTTATATTTTGTTGCTATTGTACAACAAGGTTTTCCCAGTCTTTTAATCATGCATTTATTTCTTACTGCATCACTTTCCATGTTCCAATTAAGCAAGTCAGGGTAATATGAAAGGTTTTCCTTTTAATCTTTTTATATCGTTCCGTCGGTGCATTTTTCTCTTTGGTATGTTGATTGTTGACTAAGTTTGTTCTCTTATAGTCTGAACTGGAAATTGAACCACGGTATCCCTTATTTGGAGGTTGGAAAGCAACTTTTATCATTGGTTATGGGCTACCGTTACAAGACTTCCTTTTCGAGTCATCTGATGACAGGCGTTACCTCAACTTTACCTTTGGATGCCCTCTTCTTGAGACTGTGGTTGACAAGTTAACTGTCAAAGTAGGCTTATAGTTGCTTTCACATTTGTTCAAAATTTGGAAATATGAATTTACTATGATCGGAACTAATATGCTATGCTTCAGGTTGTATTACCTGAGGGATCAAAAGACCCATCGGCTGTGGTTCCCTTTCCCGTGGAGCAGCATCTTGAGGTAATTATTCCCAATCCAATGATCTCTTTTGGATGCATGCATGGATTTATATACGTTATGGTCAAGACTGTGTTTCCTGTCATATGTGTCAACAAAGATGTGTTCCATTTGAATCTTGCAGACCAAATATTCTTACCTTGATGTTGTGGGAAGGACTGTGGTGGTCATGGAAAAGAAGAATCTTGTTCCCTCGCACAACTCTCATTTCCAGGTAATTTATCACCTCTTCAATTTGCATTATACGTTTTTTCATTGGTATCAATTTTATCGTTGTCCATGAGGAGTCCATCTCCTAGTGATTTTCAAATTCATTGTGAAGATCACCTTGGTAATGGAAACCTTCAAATGATGAATGAATGAAATACATACGTACACATACGTACTCTTCTGGAGGCTGCTCGAATGAATCTAGGTAGTCTTTAGTCCTTGTAAGTCTGATATTGGTGCGAATAAGTAGATTTGATAAATGTGTTATAGAAAACTATCAAAATGCTAGCATGGACTTGTTTGTAGGTTATGCGCCAATATCAAATTCACAAATTAAATTACTCGATTCTATATCACTAAGACTGAATTGCAGTTTCGACTACAATAGAGAGTAGAGACACTGCCTAGATCTTTTGGCCTCGAAAAGCATGCCCATTAATGTTGGCAGAACATGATTTTCTTCAATCTCGTGTGTTTTCCTTATGGACCCCTCTTTGCAGGTTCACTACACCTTCAAGCCAATCTTCATGCTTGCAGAGCCTTTGATGCTGGCGTCTGCGTTCTTCTTGTTTTTCGTGGCTTGTGTAGCTTACCTGCACATTGATCTCTCCATCCGTAAGTGAAACATCGCGGTATTCACAATCGGAAAATTAGCAAATAGTTCAAAATCGTCACTCTTTAGATTGCAGTGAAGCCAGATTCCATCAGGTGAGAGAATACACAAACTCTAGGATTATGGCATTGCCTTGTGTGCTGAATTCACAAAAACTGAGAAATTTTCTGGGACGAATAATGGTTTGCCACTAGAAAAACTCTTGTTTTTACAATGCAATTGTTTCAAGTTTTGGAGCAAGCTATGATATCCGTCAGATATGGGTCTTGCTTAGATCATTCATCAGTACCGATATCCAAGCTTGTGTTATACATTGCGGTATGTGACGTGCGCTGTGGAATTTTCCATAATTATAAAGTCCGAGAATCCGGTGCAAGGTACAATCATAATCATAAGATTGTCTAAGAAGGTAACTAGGGTTGATATAATTGAATGAAAATGGATTTATACGCAACTAGAAGTAAATATTAAGAGCATAGAGACTAAAAATTAAACTTGTAATAATTAAAATATAAAGAGGCGGATGAGAAAGATACACGTATATAAATTTATATACTCGCGTTCAAATGTAAATTATATTGAAGTATTTATGTTTTCATGTTTAAAAATTGCTTTTAAATGCATTTTTATTTCATCTATTT